AAGGTAGACACAAGCTATGACCATAACAGAGAGGAAGTGGTGTAGGGAAGGTGCCTCAGGGCTTGAGGCAGGCAAATTGTGGGAGCAAAGGTGGGATTGACTAATGGAAGCATAGGAGCCAAGAGTCAAACGGGCTAATGGTCAGAGGGCAATTAATGAAGGACATCCCTGAGCAAAGATTATGCCTTCTCATTTCCCACACCTGAGGCCAATTTCCATTTATATTAGGTGCTCACTTGACCCTATGTGAAAGTTCCAATTTAGATTAGGGTACCTGGAAACAGACCCTGAAACTCAGGGATTAGCACTCAGGAGATTTGATGGGGAGTCCTCTTGGGAGCAACGCCTGTGAGGACACCAGGGAAGCAGGACAAGGCAGTAGGACAAGTTGAATGCCAGGGTAGTTGCAACAGAGGCCTCCGCTACTCTTAGAGGGGGCTCTGCAGTTGGAATGGCTCTTCAGAGTTGTCCCAAATTCAGACAAGAAGGTGAGTGTTTTTATCCCATCATTGTCTACTCACTAGATGTGAGCTGCACCCATGGAGGGAAACCCCAAAAGGAGACTAGCTGAGAACTATTGGTTGTCCATGCTCCTGGTAACTGTAGAATGAGTGCTTCAGTCCTAAGCAAAAAATACACGGACAGCACACCACAGCATCCAGTAATGGTCTTCTCAAGCCTAATGTGGGATAGCAGCTGACAGTAGCTGAAAACTGCAGCCTCTTAAGTCTGATGTTTCTTTGGTCTCTCTCATCTTTGCCTGCTTTGCTCCTCTTCCCCACCCCCCACATACTCACTTTAACTACAAAAACCTACTCACCACTCTGAACACACAGTAAGTACCCTCTTAACACCACCCTGCATTTATATGTGCTATTTTATCAGTTTACAATGTCCTTCCTCCCTCTTATTTAACAAAATCATGTTCCCTTAACAAAGTCAACTTCCAAAGCTAATTGTATGATAAAAATTTGAAATTGAATCAGTTTCACCTTCCTCTGGGGTACCAAAGCATGATATTTGTAACTCTGTTATATCTGTCCTGCTTGCGTTATAATTGATCTTGTGTTTGCGTTTTCCTTTATCAGGCTGTAAATTCAATGAGTGCAGAACTTGATCCTTTATCCTATTATTCTCTCCGTAACCTCTCATTCTGCTTGGCTCAAAATAGATATTCAACCAACAGGAACTGATTACATCAATGTTCCAAATTGTTATGGAAGTTCCTTAGGAAAAAAAAATCTCCCTAAAATTCTGACGACCCTTTGGCATCACCCTGCATTTTTCCTATTCATGAGAAGCACACAGTCTTTATTTATTCAATATAATTTGAGTGCCTACTAGAAGACAGATAGGGATAGGGTTACTTCCTATTATTCTTTTTGTTGGTGGTGGTGATGTTATTAAGGTAAAATTTCCATACTATAAAACTAATCATGTTTAAATGTACAGTTCTGTAGCATGTGATATTGTGTGGCCATCACCTCTATCTAGTTCCCAAACATTTACACCACCTCAAAGGCAAACCTATTTCTATTGTTCCTAAACAAATTGTACCTAATCTGTGTTCCCCAGGAGCTAGGCATGTTGCAACAAGAAAGGAATGGGTCTAATGTCTGAAAAATGTATACCTTAACCTACCTTTTCATAGAAATTATGCTGGCTTGCTTTTCAATGTTTTTGTTACTGAATGGGAGGGAATTTTCTTTCCAGTTTTCCAAGAGGGCTGTGTTTGGGTGTCACTAGAGGCTCTAAATTCCCATCCTAAGAAAATATCTCCCCAGCTTTGGAACAAGGGGAGCCCTGAGTGACTTGAGATGCTGAATGACCCCCATCCCCAGCAGGAGGACTGGAAGCTGTGTGGGCTGCACCTCACCCTTGCTGAGCATTGTATGTGATGTGGAATAAGGGGACAGTAAAACGCCTTTGGCCAGTCTTTGTCTTTTGGTGTCCTGAGACAAAGGCTGTCTCACTGTGAATAAATGAATAAAATTACAAGTTCTACCAAGAAAGGGGAGGCGGGCCGGCCGAGTGGCACGATGGTTAAGAACTGGCTTGGGACGCCAGAGGGCCCCGGTTCGGATCCCACATATGAGCGCCGGTGACACTGCCCTCCACAGCTAAGATGCTGGGCAGCGGCTCAACCTGGAGCTGGGCTGCCCTGAGTCGCCGGTGCCGGCGACGGCATAGGCTGCAGCCCCTGTGGCAGTGGGTTGCCATGGGCTACCGTGTGTAGCCAGCAGCCAGCGTGAGCGGCCA